AGGTCGCTGCGAGGCACGAGAGAAAAATCCAAAAAGTTCAATTTTTCTTTGTATTATTATTGTTATACGACGAGTTTGCTGTTAATGCTTTCGTGTTGTTAAAGTTCCTTTCTGCAGAATCGACAGGGAATCCAACAGCAGGGGGAAAAAAAAAGTTTGGCCCATGTGCAGTGGGCCAGGCAGCGGCCATTTTGAACAAGTGTTGACTGAGGTGTTTGAGCTCCCCCTAGTGTCCGCAGGGAAAATTGCACAATCCTACATACGCCTTAAAGTTATAATCAGCTTTCTGCCGTCGCACGGGTTCCTTTAATGTGGCGAAGTGTGAAAAGCGAGGAACGGTCATCTTCGCAATTTAGATTTTCGCCGATTTGTAAACTTGAATCTAATTGCCGCAGATCAGTGACAAGGTTGGAGCGGATCCCCCGACTCCACGGGGCGGCTTCCTGTCTGCGGTGAACAGGAACATTCCTCGAATTTCTGTGGTCAGATGCACTTTCGCAGGATGTACGGGTGTGAGGGCAACGCCAAAGCCCCTCCGCCATCTGCATGCCCGCCGTAACCGCTGGGCCCGCTTACGCAGAGATATTTACACCACACAACCTGCCGGCCCGCATCTGACTCACTGGTCACAATTATTATAATAACCGTTTATTTGTACAAGAATAAAGTACTATGCCACACGCTCATTATACCTGCGCCGGGTATGTCATTACCAGCCAAGGGATATTATGTGTACACAACGCGACAGTCAAGACGGAATTACAGAAATAAAGGGTTGCTTTGTATCTTTTTAACCTGCTGGTTTGTTTTTTTTGATGATGGAGGAAAGATCATTTTATTATCAGTATGGGGAAGGGGTTCTTTACGGTGCGAGTGGTTAATCACTTGAGAACTAGCAGCTCTTTACTCTTATACTTTTGTGGTATAGGCCTATTTATTTGTTGAAGAGAGCGAGAGAGAGAGCGAGAGAGAGCGCGCGAGAGAGAGAGCGCGAGAGAGAGAGCGCGAGCGAGTGGGCGCCCGAGAGAGCGTGCGAGAGAGCGAGAGCGCGCGAGAGAGCGAGAGCGCATGTGTGTGTCACACATACATATATAACACCACTTGTTATTTGTTCAGTGTTAAGGTGATCCCGCGATCTTATGATAATCGGCAGGTGTATGGGCAGCGTGCAACCGCTTCTACTGTACGGTCGCACGACTTCCGTCTTCCGAGCACGCTGGACAACCTGGTTTTGGTGGCGTGGTCAGAAGACGAATGCCGCAAGCGCACACTGCCCGCTCAGCACTGCAGTAGGCGGGCTTGCCATGATTGCAAGTACGATCTGCCTGTCCAAGATGGGCAGATTGTACGAAATTTTAATCACGTTACAACCATCACACGACGAAAGGTGTGCGATGGTTGTAAGGTGTATGGGCAGCTTTAGTGGCTCTGGTAGTACTGAATGCCAGTCAGGCAACTAACATTTATAGCAAGGTCTCTGAGAGAAAAGGGAAGTCCCCGTGTTTCCCTCAGGTTTAAAGTAGAACTCCAGCCCAGCCTGTCTCATCCGGGGGGGACTGCTGTACCCGGGGCTGCCTTCTGACTTTGCCAGGGAAGCCTTCAAATTTTCACGCCGCATCATGCATTTCTATGGTACAGGTGAGCCAGCCACCGGCACAATGGAGACACACGATGCTATTGCAGGGTGAGTGCATACAGGACCTCCCCCAGTATCCAGAAGAAGACATAAGTCCACCTTGGTCCAGACCTGCTCCACCTGGTGCCCTATGCCATGCTGCGGCAGCACTGTGGTGAAGGGTATAAGGTAGGACTCCTGATGTGAAGGGGGAACTTTGATGTGAAAGGAAGGGGGGGGGGCACTCTGATGAGAAGGGGGGCTTCTGATGCGAAAGAGGGGATGCCTGATGCAAAGAGGGTTCTAGGACAAGGGTCTGGTATAGATTTTGAGGGGTAACCACACATCCTTTACTTTTTTTTTTCTTCTTTTTTCAAGGTTAGCCTGGGGGGCCTCAAAATTTTGCAAACTTTAAAGGGAACCCCAACTAAAAAAAAAAAAAAAAAGTTGAGAAATGCTACTTTAGCCTAATCTTTATTTTTAACGTTGGATAAAAGTGATGGGGGGGGGGTTAGAACTTATGTCACTATATTTTTTTAAGTCTGTATTCTCACTGGGGAGGTTTCCTCTCCAATCCTGCGTGGTCACCTGGGTGGAAGGTAAGGATTTGGCGAGTTCCACCTTACACAAATGCTTGGCTACCCTAATACTCCCTGACAAAGACTCAGGCTGCTCGCTGTGTACGGCGACATCTGCTGGCTGTTTGCTATTACTGCCAAGACGAGCTAAGAGAAAACAATGCAGATCACAGGGGCATTTGTAGAACGTCCTATACTGAAAAAGATTGATTTCGTATGGCGTTACTAGTACGAGAGTACCCAGTATATGAATTCATGAATTTCCTGTTTTAAAGGGAGCGGTCAATGCAGATAATGCGAGGCTTTGCTGGCCCATGCCAGGACCTTGGCTGTCAGGGCCAGGGAGGGGGAGCAGCTGCATGTGTCTGGAATGCAGATTTTCAATTCCTCCACATGTCTGAAACCCAGATCCCCCACACTTCCTCTGCATGTTCAGAACCCAGATGCCCCCACACTTCCTCTGCATGTTCAGAACCCAGATGCCCCACACTGCCTCTGCATGTTCAGAACCCAGATCCCCCACACTGCCTCTGCATGTTCAGAACCCAGATCCCCCACACTGCCTCTGCATGTTCAGAACCCAGATCCCCCACACTGCCTCTGCATGTTCAGAACCCAGATCCCCCACACTGCCTCTGCATGTTCAGAACCCAGAGCCTCCGACACTTCCAGAAGTGTTACAGATGTTAAAATAGAGAGGTGTTTTCTGTACAGCAAAGCAAAGAATTTGCTAACAAACGCAGACTTTACATATGCTTATGTGAGTACTTTAACTTAATAGGTATGAGAGACTCCAGCTTGTAGAAAAATGAATACTTGCAGTGGGGCTACAGTGGTGGGGGGGGGGGGGGGGTGCCCCACAC